GGTCGGGTGAGTCTGCGCGGACCCAGCCCCGGGCAGGGCTCAGAGCCAGCGAGCGTCCGGCTGCGTGTCCGGGCGCCGCGGGCTGTTGCCACAGCGGCAGGAGGAAGGCCCCCAGGGCGGCAGGCAGTTCTCTGCCCAGGCACATCTTTCTCTGAGAATATATAGAAAATCTCCTGCCCTGGAAGTTCAGACTCGCGGTTTCCAGCAGCGGTGACTGTGTGTTTTATCACAGCCACATCTTCTGAGCTGGCTGTTTCAAGGATGCTTTCTCTTCCAGCTTGGGCAACAGGTTACGTGTATGAAATAAACGACTATCTTCTTTTTTTTCTACTCAGGTGTAAAACTTCTGTTGCATGGTCTTTGCTCCAACACCACAGTCAAATCTTTGGATTTGAAGGTGAGTCTGATCAAATAAAATTAAGAAAAAGAGGTGGAGGAGGAAATAGGAGCACAAGTTTAATCAGAATTTAGGCAGTCCTCCTGCAGGATTGTTCTACAAGATGTGTACTTCTGTTTCTAGTTCTCAAGTTACTCAGTCCTTGCCTCCTTAACACCATGTCACAACTTTCCAAGGTTACTTTGCAGCTCATCTTTGTTTTTATTCAGTTAGTCTGTTTTGATGGGAAGCTATTGCTGTATATTTTTTGTCAGATGAGGTAAGTGTAGGCTTTTCTCTGGGTTTCTGTATTAGTCAGTGAGTTACAAGTTGTTTGACTTGCACTTCTGTGGAGTTTATCCAGCTTGCCAGTGTCTTTCAGCTAGCCTGGGGCTTGGAACTCAGCATGCACTTTGAGATGGGATGGTCCCTCTGTTGTGAGAGTGACTTTCTGTCTGTACTCTTCTGCACGTAGCTGTTCCCTTGACTCTGTCATCCTAAACTACATCACGCCTTTCTTTCTCATCTGTGCTGGTGCTACCTGAGCCCTTTTTAATGGAGTGTGTTGAAATGGTTCTGCTTGCCTAGAACCAGCATTTTCTGTCCCGTCGTGGGCCGTGCTGATCCTGTGATTTTTGTGAGCTCTCAGTCACGATGCTTCACAAGACTAGTGGTGTATGTATCCGCTGTTCCTCCTGGGGTCTTTCGTTTGCTGGGAAGCTGACTGATATGTGAAACAAATGTTGCTCAGACCATCTTTGACGGACTGAAATCAGCTTTACAGCTGGGGTGCCCCTGGTGGTGTTTGATGTGGTAGCTGGATTGGGACAGGGCGTAGCCCACTGATCACCTGGAACTTTTGTTTCAGGGAAATAATCTGCGAACCGGGGGAGCTGAGGCTTTGGGAAAACTTCTTCGGCGGAACAAATCCATCAGGAGGTAAAAAATTGCATCTACTTCTCTTTCTGTTATTCCTGTCAGAGGGAGCGCAACACTACAAAAGGGTTGAGGGAGGGATTTTTTTGTAGGAGGAATGTGAAGTGGTGCAATTCCTTGTCAGGGGTGGGACAGGTGAAGGAGTGAAAACTGGAGGTGCTCTTTTGGAGGATGCAGGGCCCATGCAGCATCCACCTCTCTGAAACTGAGTCTCTGTTAGCAGAGCTGGGTGCTTGAATGGGTACCATGGTCTAGGTATCGTTCAGGCTCTTGCAACTGTCTGTTTACTCCATAAACTCCAATCCTGCCTGTTTTTCTGTAGCCTAATCTTGGAATGGAACAACCTTGGCATGTGGGAGGAGGGCTTCTTCTTTTTCTGCCAAGGACTGGGAGCAAACAACTTTCTCCAGCGGCTGGATCTGCGCAATAACCAGATCAACCATCAAGGGGCCGGAGAACTGGCTGTGGCACTGAAACAAAATACCAGCCTTCAGGAACTGGGTAAGAGTGACTAGCTCTTTGCCCAGCTGTGTATATGCACGTACATGCACGTTGCTCTTTGGGTTTGGTGCAGCCTGCCCTGATCTCTGCCGACAGGTCAGTGTCATTCCCAGTTCCTCAGTCTGGAGTGCTTTGCAGGCTTTGAGCAGGGAGTACAGGTCACAGCCCACGGCCTTTGCAGAGTGGGAACTGTAAAGGGACTCGCTGGAACCAAACCTGCGGGTGAAGATTGTGTGCTTGGAGCAGAGCAGTTTTTAGTGGAGGAGGGAAAACCATTTGTGGATGCTGTTGGCATGCCTCATCCCAGACTCGGAGACTTACTTCCTCCTTGCTTTGTCCTTAGTAAGGAATTTTTCCAGAACTTCCTTCAGGAAAATGTGGCTCTTGGTGCTGATTCTTTCTCATTCACACACCGTGGTTGTGGAAGGGAGGTTCGTGAGATGAAAATGTGAGGGACAGACTTGTGTACCTTTTGAACTGTAATGGCTTCCTGCACCTTACTGCACTTAGGATTCGTCCTTGCCTTTCTTGCTTTGTCATTTTCTCTCCCTCTCAATCATCTTGGAAAGGGAGACAGTATTCACCTGTGTTTGTGCTGAGACCATCTGGGATTCATTAGCCGTGTTTGTAGATCAATAAGAAGCGTGGTTTCTCTTGAGCCCTGTGTTTTTCAGCAGATGTGTGACTACTGGGCTGAAAGTTTGCTTTCTGTACAGATTTGCGTTGGAATAATATTGGGCTTCTGGGCGGCCGAGCTTTGCTGAATTGCCTGCACAGCAACAAAACCCTGAAGAGGCTGGAGCTGGCTGGGAACAACGTCCCTAGTGACATCCTGAAAGCTGTGGGTAAGTATTGCTTGTTGCACAGGAGAGAATCAGTAACTCCTTTCCCATTTCAGCACTGGAGGGGTATAGGGCGCTTGCTGCTCCAGAAGAGAGCTGTCTCTCCTCCACTCCCCTCTCTTTCTCAGCCGCATTTACACAGTGCCCTGCATCGCTTCCTCTTGTCCTTTAACGAGGCCTGGTCAGCTTCGAGGTGTCACTTTTACCAGCAAGAGGAGAAGATAGTTTGGATTGAATTGGAGATTGCTGTGTGAATCTGTGAATGTGGGAGAACTTGACATTCTAGTTTGCCTCTGGGTAGTCAAGTTTGGATCTGGCTACTGCAGACCGTCCTTTGTTGTTGTCCAACCTGCAGTGGAGCCGAGTGGCTCTCCTGTGCCTGGGGCGTTGGTTACCCCCTGCCACTTCTCTCCTGGATTCTGCTCCACCTCCTGTCTGTGAGGTGAGAGCGCTCTCTCTGGGTGGGCTCCTCTCCTGGTGCTGCTGATGGCCAGGTGTCACCCTGAGCGCTCTCTGTCTGAGCAGAGCTTGCTCTTCTGTTGCTTAGAAACATGCACATGCTTTCCTGCTCTCTCTGCATCAGAACAAGCCATGGATCACAACCAAGACCGTCAGACTATCCTGAGCGAGACCCAGAACCGAGCGCACGTACTTAGCCAGGAGGTGTTGAGTCTGAAGGATGAGAAGACCAAGCAGGTCAGCAGTCTTACATGTTTGGCAGTTCAAACGGGGCAGCTGGAGTCCTGCGCTTTCCCTCGGTCTCGCCATGAAACGCTCAGTGACAGGATTATTGTGCACCTGATGTTGCACATGCATCTTTATGGATGGACATGCAGCGTAGCTCAGTGAGTTGTGTCCTTCCTCTGAGCTAGGTGGCCCAGGAATCAAATCCATGCCAGTGTGCATATGGACGCACGCCCTGCTGCATTTAATTGAGAGGAGGTTTTTTGTGTTTTGTTTTTTTTTTTTTTCACCCGTATTCGTGCTTTCTTTTGTGACTGGTTTGATATTTTACAAGTGGTGAAAACCTAGAAATATGAGTCTGTTTTCCTTCTCACACCTAGTGGTACAGAGTCCCTTTAGCTGGTGACCTCAGTCCGGTGGGCTAGTGAAGCTGTCAAACCTCCAGTTTGCTTGCTTTCAGTGGAGTGGCTGTCACTAGGAAGAGAAAGATGAGAAATGTAAATGCTTCTGGCTGATGCAGTTCATTTTCTCACTGATGTTTGCCTTGTTCGCAGTTCTTGGATTTGATGGACACTATAGACAAACAGAGAGAAGAAATAGCCAGGAGTGGCAGGTGGGTTGAATTTCTGTGTGCTTTCTGCTGTTTGATGGCAGAATTTGGCCCTCTCCATTTCCTGGCAGAAATTATTCACCCTTTTTTTTCCCCCCCAAATGCAGGATGTCTGCAGCACGAGTCAGCCAGCTGCAGGAAGCATTGGATGAGCAACTCTCTATTATGAATTCACTGAAAGCCAAGTACGGAGGAGGAAAACCTTAGTCTTCCCACTGTTCTGTGCTGTACGGGCAGTGCTGAGCAGAGCTGTTAAGAAGGGGGGTAATCTTGTAGAGTGGCTGGCTTACTATTTCACTTAGTTCTGCACTAATTTCCAGAAATTGCAGTCAGATTAGGCCTTTGGGTTTGCCACACAGGATACTTATCTTGCTTTTAAGTAAAGTTACAGTGCATTGGTGTAAGAGCAAGTGATTTACAGAGAGTGAAAAAAAAAAAAAAAAAAAAAAAGGATCACGGGTATGGGGACATGTTCCTTGCACACATTACAGCCTGGCAAGAGTCTGTACCTGCTTCCCCTGGCAGCTGGCAGTACCCTCTGAGAACCGCTGCAGATGTGGAGGAGCCTGACCAGCAAGGTTGTACGCTCAGGAACGATGAGGTGGAGCTGCCTAAAAGCAGCGTGAGATTGTGTAGAGACATATGCACGTGACAGTGCTTAGACGTCAAACGTTGAGCCTGGGTCATGCAGTTCCAGCAGGTAAAAGTGGTTTCATTGTGCCATGCCTCGGTGTGGACTTGTCCCTCGTGTACAGAGTGAGCAAATCGCTTCTGCTACCTGTGTTTAAAATCCTATCCCTAATTTTGAACAACCTTGCACTGGTATAAAATAGCCAGCTTTGTTCTCCTGTGAGAGTGGGCAAATCCTGGAGGGGTCCAGGCGGGGAAAACAGCTCATGGAAGGTAACACAGGGAAATGGGGCACCAGAACACCAGGATCTGAGAACGTCCCAGGTCACTCTCTGTTTGCAGAGCCTGCTGAGTTCAGAGATAAGTGCTGTCCTTTTCCCAGGGGCAAAAAATGCCTCATTTAGGCTGATTTCATCCACTGACAAGCATGTGTGAGCATGTGTTGTAGAGAGCTCACTGGAAGTGTCTCCCTTAGAACGGGCTCTGGAAAGTGTTTCTCTGTGTAGGCTGCAGATGACTGAAGCTGCGTTGGCTCTGTCTGAGCAGAAGGTGCACAACTTGGGAGAGCTGCTGAGCGCCATGAAACAGGAGCAGACCAGCATGGCTCAGTGCCACTTTACGGAGCTGCAGCAGCAAAAGCAGGTGAACTGGACAAGTCCTAGTCAGGTTTGAGAGCAGGGTTCCAGGTCATACCTGGTTTGTGGGGATTTCAGGGGTGCTGGATGGGATAGGCAAGCATGATTTTTACCACTAGTGGGTTAACCATAGCTGCCATGACAACAGCTCTTGTGTAAATGAGATAGGTGAGTGCTAGGTGTGGCGAGGAGCCATGGTGCTTACAGGTGGGTTGGATTGGGTTGGGGGTGGTGTTGGTTGGAGTAGGTTGGCAGTGCAAGAACTAAGGTATGTACAGGTTCTCAATTTTGATTCTGTTTGCAGGAGAGTGCTGATCGGGAAGGCAAGCTTTTGCATGATTTGTCTGCTGCCAATGAGAAAAATGTGCTTCTAAGAAACCAGGTAGGAAAGTAAGTCCAAGACTGAGAAGTGGGACTTGGACATTGTTTGCTTCTGCTCTGTATATACATCCTCTACTGTCATCCTTTTTTTCTGTACAGACAACTTTCTCTGCTAATAGGAAAAGAAAATCCTTTGTAGTGGTAATTTCCTTGTAGGTGGATGAGTTGGAGAAGAAGTGCAGAGTTCAAATCAGCTTTTCCAGGTAAAACAAGATTTGACGAACACAACAGCAGAGCTGAAGCTGCGGGCCGTGCAGGCTGAGGGTGAGTGGAGGAGCAGGAGCAGCTCAGGGACACCTGTGGTTTGGGATTACTGTCCATGAGTCAGTGGTGCAAGGCAGCCAAGGAGAAAGGGTGGAAGAGTTTGTGAGACTGTAAATATA